TACACGAGTTGCCACCCACACATCCCCTCCCCTTAGTGTGACACATAATCCCATTATGTAGGACACAGTTCCCCTGGTTTTCTGGATGTACCCCTAGACCTAGGAGTACCCCTTTAAATATTACATCTCCTGGTAGCCCTGATCTGGGTGAGACACATATCCAAAAATCACCCAGATCAGATCAGGGGTTCAGGGGTTTAGGCCCACTGAAGCATGGCTTTCAAGCCCAAACCAGTTGCAAGTAGTCTGGCAGTGTGCCTGGGACAACACCCTGCTTGAGAACAATGGGACAGGAAACGGGGGAGGGGTACACCTTCCTATACACAGTCTATACACAGTCTAATAGAAGTCCATACACTGTGCTTAAAGGGCCAGTAGCCGCATAGTAAAAATCCATCATGCCCAAATACTGTCTTTAAAGGGCAATACCCCCAGGGCCATAGTCACATGGCAGGAGGCGGGCAAGCAAGCCCCTCCAAAAGCTCATGGCAAACTCTCTTAAAGGGGTGAGTTTGCTACACCAGTGTCTTGTCCCACGATTGCCTGCTGGATTAAATGGCTTCTCGATTTGGCGGGCATAGATTCCTCTTTTAGAGCTCATTCTGTCAGAGGTGCTGCTGCCTCTTCCGCCTTTATGGCTGGGGGATCCCTTGCAGCCATCCTATCATGCGCTGATTGGTCTAGAGAATCTACCTTCCATACCTTTTATTTTCGTCAATCGTCCTATGCTTCTTTCTCTTTGGTTTCCATGCTTTAAAACAGCAAATATAAAGCCTGTCTTGCCATAAAATTCGGGATTATTCTAGCTTTAGTGACTGAATAATCTAAATTTTATTAAAGACAGGAGGTGAATATTTTCCCACCCTATTGGTATCCCACCACAGATTTTTTTTCAGGTCACATATACTCTTCATTTTTTTCTAGGTTTCATGTAAGACGTTATGTTAATCTGGCTGGTTTTCTGTTTGCTCTGGTTAGGTGCTTATTAATCTGCCTGGTTCTGACTATTTTAGATTTTGCAATAGTTTATACTCGTAATATCCAGGGGGTAGATCTGTGTATGTAGATATCTTGCGGACACCCAGTCTAAGTGACCATACTTTCACGATCTTTCTCTGTCTTTTTAGTGTGACGTTTCTCTGCATGAGCCACGAAGACTACGTTCCATTGGTCTCTAGTATCGGCTGCGTTCTGGTTTACATGGTTGATTGATCACTCAAGTTTACACTGTTGACTACACTTATGATTGGCTGCATCAGAAAGAGGATTTGGGAGGAGCCTGACAGACTGTTATGCTCTAATATGTGTCCTGATTGGTTGATTTTTTCACTATATGTTTAACTATTTCTTTGCTGCTGGGAGGTTCAGTAAAGAAGGTTAAAGCAAATATTCACCTCCTGTCTTTAATAATATTTAGATTATTCAGTCACTAAAGCTAGAATAATCCCGAATAGATCGGTGTTGGAATCTAAATCTCTGTCACTTTGCTATAAGGCTATAGAAGAAAGTGTACCTACTAAACCCTTTGCTATTAGACTTGAATAGCTTTATCAGTGCTCTCTGGGGAATTGCTCGTTGCCATTATCTCATAAAGGCACACAGAAAACTGATCTATCAGTGGTATTATAACCCCAGTCGCTTACACAAACTAGATAACTTAATCTCGCCTGTTTGTTGGCTATGAGGAGAGAAAGAGGGGACTTGGTAGGAATGCCAAAAAATACAGTCACTGTGGCAGGAGCCAGTCTTTAATGACAGCTGTAGATTTGAATCCAAGTCCCATTAAACTTTATGTCAAGATATTTAGTTAATTTAATTGAACAATTGGACTTTTTCAATTGAATTAGTGATAAACCAATCATGAGGGATTGTTGCCCTATTTAAGCCCACAACCAAGATGAAGGTTGTGAGCACGTCCTGAGGAAGCCGATTGGCGAAACGCGTTGACGTCATACAAAGGGGGAGGAGCTTACAGACCACGGAGTCCGGAGGCGTTTGTTTTCTGGCAGCAGACAATACACGAGGAGATTCTCTAGCAGCCGAACAGGAAGAACGCCGGACGAGCAGCCTACCACCCTAATGATTGAACTCTGATAGTGAGTTGACATATATGTGTCAAACTCACCACCTTATCTAGTAAGGGGCTTGTCACCCTATTTTTTATCATCATTTTTTATTATTCTATTTTATGTATATATGTACTGCTTTTTCTGCATGTGGCAGATAATAAATTTATGTCAGCTTTTTCCTATTGGGGTTTCACCAAATATTTCTTAAAGTGATACTTCACAGTTTATGAATTGTTATAAGTATATATGCTTATATATTTTTTATACAATCTGCACTATCATTGCTTTTTTCCCCTTTTTTCTTTACATATATACCATTATTGCTGGAAGTTACACTTAAAATCGAAACCAGTTTGTATATATATACTCTTTCTTCTGTCTTATATATGGTATAAATTGCTCCACTCACTAGCACACATTACAGGATGAGAGAGTTGGCAGTAGAGGCAAAGTCACCTAGATAGTGCAGGTTACCACTGACAAACATTGTGAGACATGTTAGGTTTTTGACCATGATGACTGCTACATCTGTTTAGTTCTTTAGTCTGTTAGTCTTTTTATTTTATTTTACTTTGTTTCAGGTCTATATGGTTTCAATTGTAACTCTGATATTGATGGATTCAAGAACTGCTTACATAACTGATCAGTCCATTTCAATGCCATTTATGCCACCATGTATGTTCATGTTACTTTTCTTTTTGAATATAAAAATCAATAACTGCAAAAAAGAACCTCAAGGCAGCTACAGGGAAAGACCAAAGTGAAATAAAAATGGACGTAAAATTTAACTTTTATTTTCTACATCTAAAATGAAATAAGAAACAGAATTCACAAAATAACCTAATTTAGAAGTAGAAGAAGGTATAGCCTACAATCGTGTAAATGCCACACTGTACTCTGGGTTATCCGACTATTTTGGGGTGTTTTCCTGCAAAGTGAATTAAATTGCTAAAATCTGTTTTCTTGTTTGTTTGTTTTTACAAAAAAACAATAAACAAAACCAAAAAAAGGAATCGGCAATCATAACAACTATAGCCTTCTGTAGTGGTTATGATGCCAAGAGTGCTCATTAAGGACAGGTATGTAGTGGTTATGGTTCTTGGAGTGTTCCTTTAAGCTAGAGCAGTTCAATAGACGCCACCCCTCCACTTCATATTTACCTGTGTGTGATGGGAATAATGAAAATCAAAATTAGAGTCCTGCATTGATTGCAGGACCAGTCATTCATATAAGAATTTGCAGCCAAAATGATTAAGGTTAATCAATACAAGTCACCTGGACAGTTACATAGGATTTATTATCCAGGACATATTTTCTATCACTCTATCACTCAATGTGACCAACAGAGCAAAAATGTAGAGGATAATTAAATCAATGTTTATGTACCCCTACTATGATTGTTACACTTCAAAGGTTGTGCAAGCAATAAAAAAAGGTTGTGACTCATGATGCTCTCCGTCTCACATAGCCTTTGTACAAGAATTGATCAGCTGTGTGCTGTGGGACCATATGCAGTAGGATAATCGATTCATCAAACAGGATAAAGGAGATATGACAATGGAGAAATGCATAGCATGGTTTACTGTTGACAAAATCCTTGGGATTGCCTATATCTGTGATTAAACTATATGAAGCACTGTGAAACAATCTGACTACCAGAATTCTATAATAAGCTCATAAAGTCCCATTACAGAGGTTTGCTAAAATGTTGCTTTCTTAGTATTAATGGTGCATTTTAATATTAATCATTTCTTTGTATCTAATTTACAGTTATATTTATAAAAGGACAGCTTTGCAGAGTGATGCAGCAGAAGAGGATCAATATGTAAAGAAGATCATAATTTAAGGTATGATGAGTGGATGAAGGTGAGCTTCAACATTTCAAACAAAAATGATATCAGGAAATGGAATGAATATAAAGGACATTGAACTGTCCGGTATCAGACGGACTATGTTCTACCCATTCTCCAGGATCAATTCAGAGGGAGAAAGTACAAAGGTGCTCCAGTTGCTTGTGCATGCAAACACAAGTCATCTTCTTACCGGACTAGCTAATTAGTCATAAATATACTGAACAGAACTTCATTAGCAATATTTTCTTATATAAAATAGAGAGATTAATGAGGTTCACAAATAAATATTAGCCATATCACACTGGAAATAATTAATTCCATACAAAGGAGAAAAGAAATATTGATAAAAGAAAGATCAGGAATTGAGAATGCTCAGGGAGAACGCATAGACCAGTAGACCATTCCTTCAGTTTTCTTTGTCTCTATATTACATTTGTCTAGTAACAGAAGACTACAACTTTGTGAAATGCTTGCAGTAATTCTAAAACAGTCTAAATGGTTTTAATAAAGGTTGAGTAGGAAGTGCTACACCTCTGTTGTTAAATCAAAATATAGCCACTTAATGTATAGTTAAGGGCAACAGTGCTCATTCACTTGAATTTATTAATATAATAAGTTTTGGAGTTTAGGAACATCAATAAATATACATGAAAATATGCACAATATAAAGCTCAAAACACAGGCAAATAATTATTTTTTTCTAAATTAGTATGTCCTTTAGAGCAGGTTAATGTGCACTTCAGAGCAGGTAAATTCTAACAATTATAATCAGTGTAAACTTTAAAGATGCAATCAGACAATCTAGCTATTACCTGAATGCTCTCTTCGGCACTTGAATAGTTAAGGGCAACAGTGCTCATTCACTTGAATTTATTAATATAATAAGTTTTGGAGTTTAGGAACATCAATAAATATACATGAAAATATGCACAATATAAAGCTCAAAACACAGGCAAATAATTATTTTTTTCTAAATTAGTATGTCCTTTAGAGCAGGTTAATGTGCACTTCAGAGCAGGTAAATTCTAACAATTATAATCAGTGTAAACTTTAAAGATGCAATCAGACAATCTAGCTATTACCTGAATGCTCTCTTCGGCACTTGACATAAAATTTTCTTTTACAGCTTCATCACCTTCATGAACATGCTCTTCAATCTCACTGACAGATATTAGACTAGAGCTCACAAGGGAGCCTCTTCTTGGTGTAGAGTGAACAAAGTGTCTGAGTAAAGAAACATAAGCTTAAATATTATAACATTTATTATGTGTGTGTGTGTACATTGCAAATAAAGGGTCTGTTTTAGTATTCTGGCGTCATAAGGCACAATTCAGTAATATACTCCTTAATAACTCAATGAGGATAGTACTACATTTCTTGTAGAATGCTAGTACCAATTGGCACCGACCATGCTCCCCTATACACTGGTGACCCTACATGCCTATTATAAGGGGAAACACTCCTCTGGGTGTCTCTCCAAGGGGAAGGGGCAGGCTCTTTGTGAGAGCAACCCGGAGAGAGGAGAGAAAAAGCTAGAATGATAATTTGCTGCAGCTTTGGACAGGCAATTGGAGCATGGAGACAAAGAACATATATGTTTTATTTACCCAAAGCCAAGGACTGTGTTAAGGACTGTTAACCACACATGGGAAGCAAGTATGTGCTTCACAAACAGGGATATACAGGAGTGGTGTGTATTACAACAAGTGTAACACCCACTGAACACATGATTGATGCTCTCAGCAGGAGACAGGGGTATAGGAAATAAATTAATAATATTTAAGGCAGAAACACTTAATTGTATAACATGAGTCAAGTCAGATGGTTAGACCTATATCTGTTGTGACGGTGTCACTTTAAATAGTACTGCATGTTAGTGATTGTTTACTTGAGGTATGTAATTTTAAGTACCCATTAAATAATACAGTCTATTTTGTTTGCATGTATTAATCCTTGTTTGAGAACTTGCTTGAGTCTATAAACTTAAGTAACTCCAGGATCAACATTTGTGAGAAATGCAAACCTCCTGGCTAGCTATACCTGGCTACTTATTTGAACCATAAGTATAATGTATAAGTAACAAAGGAGAAACACAAACAGGACAGCATGATAGATACAATTTTTATACAAAGTTAACTACTGCCTTTCTGTGCAGCCTGTGTGCTACCATATGAAATCCTTGTTTTATTATCAACAGCTTATATTTTACATTACTAGACATTTATCCAGAAAGGAAATGTCTATTAAATGTGAGTAAATTGTAGATTATGCTAGCTTTAGTGTACCTATAATCTTAATTTTATTATTGACAGGAGGCGAATATTTGCTTAAAGGACCACTATAGTGCCAGGAAAACATACTCGTTTTCCTGGCACTATAGTGCCCTGAGGGTGCCCCCACCCTCAGGGTCCCCCTTCCGCCGGGCTGGATGGAGAGGAAGGGGTTAAACTTACCTCTTCTTCCAGCACAAGGCATGGAGCTCTCCTCCTCCTCTCCTCCCTCTTCTCCTCCTCTTCGGCTGAATGCACATGCGCGGCAGGAGCTGCGCGCGCATTCAGCCGTTCCATAGAAAAGCATTCTCAATGCTTTCCTATGGACGCTGGCGTCTTCTCATTGTGATTTTCACAGTGAGAAACGTGGAAGCCCTCTAGCGGCTGTCAAGAGACAGCCACTAGAGGCTGGATTAACCCTAACATAAACATAGCAGTTTCTCTGAAACTGCTATGTTTATAGAAAAAAAGAGTTAACCCTAGAAGGACCTGGCACCCAGACCACTTGATTAAGCTGAAGTGGTCTGGGTGCCTATAGTGGTCCTTTAAGTCTCTCTTTACTAGAACTCCACAGCAGCAAGAGAAAACAACCAATCAGAAAAAAGTAAGGTACTATAAAACTCCCCTCCCTATCCATCATTTCCTCTTTCAAGCTGCGACAAAAACAGAACAAAAGGCAGAAAATATAATGGAGGAAAAATGAAGTCCTAGATATGACGAATATAAAAACGACCACCATCCGAGAAGAACTCTCAAACCACATAGCGTTGATGGACTGTAAGCTGCAACGAGAGAAAACAGAATCGAACAGGTTGGTTAGCCAATGAAATGTATGCAGAACAAAACATGTAGGCACCCAGTGAGATAACCAGAAAAACCATAACCTGCATAGATCCCAACCCTTACTTAGGAAAAACGGACATAAGAATAAGTGAGAGGTAGCAGAGACAACAAGCAGAGTTGCATACCTACCTGATGAACCCAAACTATTAAAGTTAAACAAGGGCGGGCTAAGAACGGGAGAGAAATATTCACCTCCTGTCATTAATAAAATTAAGATTATAGGTACACTAAAACTAGCATAATCTACAATTTTATAACATGACAGGAGGCTTCATATTTGTTAACGCTCAGTCCACAAATCCAACTATGTTTGTTTCGCTGGTACCTGTTCCGGGAGAAAAACCAGAGCAAAACCCAAAAGGGTCTTCCAATTGCGAGAAGTGACAGCGGATGGGTCGATGAAGAGGTCAGCTGACGCTGTCCCACTTATTTCTGAAAACACTCAATCCGCCGATAGACCGTACGTGGGGATGAGACCCGCTTCCCGGAAGACAATCCATGACCTGCAAAGTCGATCTATTAACCATATTCCTGCAAATGCAATTTCCGAAGATCATTTGCAGACTTGGAACCACGAGAAAAAAAGCCACCATGTCACGACCCCTGATGTGGAAGCTGGCTCCTCCGCATGTGCCAGGGTCACCAGGTGATTTGGCCTTGCAGGAAAACCTCCAACCTCAAGTAATGCACCACCAGCTCCGTAAGAGAACCGATGACCTACCAGGTGACCTACCAGGTGAGTGGTCTCATCCGAGAATGAATCCACTATGCTGGCAAAACTAGTCGTATACTAAGTGTTTTCTGTATTCCCACGGACTGCAGAACCTGCGACTGTGGTACGTTAAGTACTCCCAAGGGGTGTCCAATCAGGGTTCCAAAACTGAATTTGTGTAGCGAAACGGTGGTCGACTACTCTGGGAGATTGTGAATCCTAAAAACTAAAATGAGGGGAACGTAACTAGAAGTTGATATTTTTGTCCAAATGTTTCATCGCCAAGGAGTGAAAAGTGTAAGAATTCAAGGGGTAATTGGGACCTGCATAAATGGAGAAGAATCGTCACATGCTGCAGCCGCGTGGTGGACCGCAAAGGAGCCGAAAGTGGTTTGAAGGGTAGGTTGGCTGGAGAAAAACCGAATCGGTCTTGGTGAGTGGATCTGGGTCAAGATTTCCGTCCGTGACACTGTCGACTGATTAGGGAGAGAGTGTGGTAATCCAAATAACCGCTTGTACGATCCCGCTCCAGTCCAGCCCTGCCCAATTTCCGTGGCGGGACTTATGGTATGCACATCACACCCAAGATATGGTACAATAGAGTGAGGCATTTAGGCCCCATATTCCTGACTGCCAGGGGAATGTTATCTCCAAGAATAGGTCTTAGGCCAAGGGACCCAGGTATTTGGATTCGAGGTCAGAAGTCTAAGACTTCCTATGAAGGAATACCCCCCATCGTTGTCTAGAGACCTGTGATCTCCTAGCGTTCTCTAACATGTAGATGAAACGTAAAGCCCCTTCGCTAAGGACAGCTGACTCCAGAGAATAGATATATCGAAAAAAAGGGGGTATAGCTTCGACCGTCCGAAGCAGGGACTGTCCAGGTGGAGAACCTTGGGTAGTCCGATTCAAAACCGACACAGGCCCTGAGCCGTGCTCCAGTGGGAGGTTGCGTCCCAACTTGGTGACGTCTGTGTAGGATTCGACACCAAACAAGAGTTCCCCCATCAAATCCAAATAGTCCTCCTTGACTGTACCTCAGTAGACGGATGAGAGAAAATCAAAAACTCGGGACAGCACCCGTGAGGGAACTCGTCCTTTATATCCAAATCGTGGTCTCCAGACACGTTCTCAGAGGAGTAGGGGCGGTCCTGCCACCTATCCCAGGACCGCCAACAGTTAGTGAGCCCAAATCGGTCAGGACTCCGATCTTTTGACTAATGCGTATGCTGTATCTGCAGACCAGGTTGTGGGACTTCCCCATTCCCGTTGTCCGAGTAAGGGCAGTGCATGTCTGCACTATGAGGGCCTCAATCACTTGCTACCCTTGATAGGGGAAAACGGTCTGGTCCGTGCGTCCAAAATGGAGCATGAAAACCTAACCAGTGTGTGCTTGTTCGTTCGGCACAACGCCGGTCAAACCAAAAACCTACACCCCGTAATAGCTGGGGCTCACCCATCAAGCATACGACCTCCAGGAGTAAATGCAACACGGAGGCATAGGGTATCCAGAAGATGTGCAGTTCCTGGGAGCTGTAGTGAGACCACCAGTTCCAAACAGCCACTACCCTGTTCAATAAGGCATCAGGGGGACGTGTAAATGAGGTGGGGAATCTACCCCAGTAATACCACAGTGAGTCTATCCCGATAAGTGGTATAGTGGCCTGAGTCCAGCAGACCAATCATAGGGGATGTAACAGTGAAAGCTAGGTTACATATGAACTACGCTGCCCGATAGGCAGCACCTCTGTAACAAAATAGTAGCCCAGTCGTTAGATTTAATGCAGGGGTTCTCTCCTCTTAGCCGGTCACTATTAAGCAGCAATACCTCGTCATTTTGATGAAATAGTCATAGTAGGTATAGCAAGAGCTGTAGTATCAGCGGTAAACCCCGTCATGTAGCACAGGCCTCCAAAACGAGTTAACTATAGGCGGCACGGCCCTCTACGAAGACAACGGGGTCCCGTACTGGCATGCGTCCGTAGGGTGATAGGGTGAATAAGGGTCGACAGTAGGCTAAATTACCCTGCTGGGTAGTGTTAAGTGTTAATGTGTTCACTCTCAAGGAGGAGGAGCAGAATCCAGCACTATAAGAAACGGTCTTGCCAGCGGTAAACTGAGGAAACAGTATAAGTAGTTAACTTGGCCCGTGTACATCAGGGGAGCTCAGTAGCGGGTTGAGTGTATGAGACAGGGCCGGACTGGCCCACCGGGATACCGGGAAATTTCCCGGTGGGCCGCGGCACCTGGGGCCGGTCTGACAGCTCCTGTGATCCCGGCGGCCGTGTGTGAGCTGTGCGGCCATAGCCCCATGGGAGCAAGGGGGAGCCAGGCGGCCGGCTCACACACGGCCGCCCGGGATCATTTAAAAAAAAAAAAATATTTGCGGCGGGGGCGGAGGCTTACTGTGCGGCGGGGGCGGGGCTTAGCGTGCGGCGGAGGCGGAGCTTACTGTGCGGCGGGGCCGGCTAATTGCAGCATGGGAAGCAGGAAGGAGTCCCTGCTTCCCCAACAAACAGCCTCCAGGAGCTCCAAGCAGGAGGTAAGAAGGAGGTCAGTGTGTCTGTGTGAGTGTGTGACTGTCTGTGAGTGTGTGACTGTCTGTGTGACTGTGTGTGTGTGTGACTGTCTGTTTGTGTGTGACTGTGTGTGTGACTGTGACTGTGGGTGTGACTGTGACTGTCTGTGTGTGTGTGTGTGTGTGTGACTGTGAGTGTGTGACTGTGTGTGTGACTGTTAGTGTGTGTTTGTGTGTGACTGTCTGTGACTGTCTGTGTGTGCGTGTGACTGCCTTTGTGTATGACTGCCTGTGTGTGTGTGACTGTCTGTGTGTGTGTCTGTCTGCCTGTGTATGTTACTGTCTGTGTGTGACTGTGTGTGTGTGTGTGTGTGTGTGAATGTGTGTGTGTGTAACGGTCTGCCTGTGTGTGTGGCTGTCTGCCTGTCTGTATGTGTGGATGTTTGCCTCGGTGTCAGTGACTGTCTGCCTCTGTGTGTGTGTGCGCACCTGCTAGTGAGGGAGCCTCTGTGTGTGTGTGTGTGTCAGTGAGCTTGTCTGTAGGGATCATATGTGTGTGTGTTAGTGAGCTCTTGTCTGTAAGGAGCATGGGTGTGATCGTGGGCTTGTCTGTAGTGAGCGTGTGTGTCAGTGAGCTTGTCTGTAGTGAGCGTGTGTGTCAGTGAGCTTGTCTGTAGTGACCATATGTGTCAGTGAGCTTGTCTGTAGTGAGTGTGTGTGTCAGTGAGCTTGTCTGTAGTGAGCGTGTGTGTGTGACAGTGAGCTTGTCTGTAGTAAGCTTGTGTGTGTATCAGAGTTTGTCTGTACTAAATTGGTGTGTCTGCCAGTAACCTTGTCTGTGTGTGTCATTGAGATTGTCTGTCAATGAGCCTATTTGTGTGCATCAGTAAGATTGTCTGTGTCTGTGTGTGAGTATGCTTTACTGTATAATTTAATTACCCTGAAAGGACTAATATTTTGAATTAGAAGAAGAAATGTATTAATAATATATATATATATATATATATATATATATATATATATATATATATATATATATATATATATATATATATATACACACACACACACACACACACATTAAAGGACCACTTTAGGCACCCAGACCACTTCAGCTTAATGAAGTGGTCTGGGTGCCTGGTCCAGTTAGGGTTAACCCATTTTTTCATAAACATAGCAGTTTCAGAGTGCTATGTTTATGAATGGGTTAAGCCTTCCCCTATTTCCTCTAGTGGCTGTCTCATTGACAGCCACTAGAGGCGCTACAGTGAGAGCATGCCAGCGTCCATAGGAAAGCATTTATACTGCTTTCCTATGTGACCGGCTGAATGCGCGCGCAGCTCTTGCCGCGCGTGCGCATTCAGCCGACGGGGAGGAGAGAAGGAGGATCGGAGGAGGAGAGCTCCCCGCCCAGCGCTGGAAAAAGGTAATTTTTTACCCCTTTCCCCCTTCCAGAGCCGGACGGGAGGGGGACCCTGAGGGTGGGGGCACCCTCAGGGCACTATAGTGGTCCTTTAATATATAACACCCTACATAGCACAATGACTTATGGGGCTGGCATAGATTTTTTCCCAGGGCTGCTTTGTATCCCCAGTCCGGCCCTGGTATGAGAGAGCCGCACTCTCATATAATGTACACTGTATCCCTGCCATAGTGAGAGGATCGCACTCTCTAATAATAAACTCAGGGTCTTTGTCAGTGTCTGCCTTCGAATATGAGAGCGGGACCCACTTCAAACCTGTAATATGCATCTCTATCATCCTCAGGCCGAGGTTAGGGGAGGGTTGCGCCCTCTAATGGAATTTTTGTCACAGGTTCTGTATATCAGAAGCGATCCCCTCTAGTCTTGTAAATAGTCTCGCTTCAGGCTGAGGTAAAGAAAGGGCCGCACTCTCTTACCATGCAAACCAGAGTCCCTATCAGTCTCAGACTGATTGTAAGTGGAGAGATTGTCGTCTAAAACCAGTCGAGTTGGGATGAGGTCCTGAGAGGGATTCCCCTGTGACCCTGAAATCACTCTCTGTCTCAGACACCTGAGAGGTGTACTCAAACTGGGGATCAATAATCCTGCTAATAGTCGGAGTAACACTCCAGCCTAGAGCCGTGTCCAAGGGTCTAATAATGGGCACAGGCCGAGAAATTGCAATAGCTAGAGAAGGTTATGAATCTACAAACAGCCGCCTGGATCCCGTGCAAGTGCGTGGGATCCAGGATGGCCGCCGGTAGTCTGGGGAAACGCTGGAGACGTTCTCCGCGATCCGTGACAGCCCGGGGAGTCGGAGGAGGCCAAGTCTGGTCTCTCGACGACTCGAGCGATAGGAAAATTGAAAGATCCGAAAAACAAAGAAAACGACAACTAAAGTGTAGATAAAAGGCAAATACATACCTCGGAGGGAAGGAAAAACACGTAAACCCAACTGAAAGGGCCAGGAGCTAAACATGACGTAGAAATAACTACCTAGACCTAAGATGGATACCGGAAATGCAGCTTAAGGATTAGTTGCCAAAAACAAGGAAATACCTTGCTCCCCCTGTTGTCGTCTGAGCACTGGTCCCTACATGTGCGAAATTCTTCTTGGAGATGTGCCACCGCCGGGCTGGTGTGAACCGTGATTGTGCGCCCGGGGATTTTCGTAGAAGCCTTGCCCCTCAGGGCATGAGGTTTAGGGCATTCACCCTTCCAATCATACCTAGGTGCCCATATACTGGTGTCCTATTGAGTAGTATGGCAGCAGTGCTTGCCTGGACACCCACCTATCCCTTGTCAATAGCGGGTACTGGGCTCTCCACAGTGATATTCCCCCAGGCCTGTGGCCAAAAGGGGGTTCGGGCACAGACTGACGTCAGCCTATTGATAGGGCACAGGTAGATTAGGCCAATCAAATGGGCACAGACATAGCAGGTCAATCAAATGGGCACAGACATAGCAGGCCAATCAATGGGGCACAGACATAGCAGGCCAATCAATGGGGTACAGACATAGCAGGCCAATCGATGGGGTACAGACATAGCAGGTCAATCAATGGGGCACAGACATAGCAGGCCAATCAATGGGGCACAGACATAGCAGGCCAATCAATGGGGCACAGACGGAGCTGGCCATACACAGGTGTTGTGTTCAGACAGCCGCAGGGGACCAATCTGCGTGGGTAGAGTCCCCGATATATATTTTAATCCTGGGGTAATACGTGTAATCAACCTCAATACCCAAGCCACATGGAAGTGTAAAAATGTGCTAAAAGCACTAAAATGGGGAAACTGGCAGTCCTTAAACGGCTTGCAGCCCAGGCTGCCAGATCAGAGCATAGTACAGTTTATACAGAAACCTGAATGGGGTTACTATGGTGACCAATAGGCAAAAAGACAGATGCAGCAAGGCAGGGAAAAACCTATAGAAGCCTTATCTGGCCTCTATGAATACTTGTAACATCTGTTATGTATGTAGTCCTATCATGTAGTGCAGGCACAGTATCAACCCTATCACCTACTAAGCAAACCAGCTTCAGTAGGTCTGGCAGCAGATCCTGAGCACCAGCGGGGAATGAACCCCGCAAGCAGACCTCCACTGAGGTAAGTAAATCCAGGGGAGGGGCCGCGAGCAAGTGCACCCTCCTCCACCCGGTCGGACACACGCGGTCCGGTGCCTGAGTCGGCCGCGGCAAACGCCACGTGTGTAAGGAGATCAGGCCGCCGGGTACTCGTGTACAATCACGAGTACTCAGAGACCGGCAAAAACATACACAGGGCCGCTGGAGGAGACTCTGCTGTCCCAGAGCTCGGGGGTCGGAGCTGCAAGCAGACTATCAGCCTCTAGAGAACCCCCGAGCGGCATTTACGCAGCCCGAGAAGAAAGGGCAAAACATATATATAAAACGGAGGGAAAATCTGGGAGATAGACGGGGGGGGGGGAGGGATTAAACCAAGGGTATAATAAAAGGCAGAAAAACCCACAAAGACACCCCTGAAATCAAATGCACTAACAGATGGGTAATCAATGATGCATAAAGTTACAGACAATTAGTAAATTCCCAGACAGATTAAATATAAAATACTGAACATAAATAAATCAATCCCAATTCCCCCCAACTAGAAGCAGGAGGCAGTGGTACTCTGACCTGTACTGACTGCGGAGCAGCAAAGAAAGAGGAAATGATGGATAGGGAGGGGAGTTTTATAGTACCTTACTTTTTTCTGATTGGTTGTTTTCTCTGTGCTGCTGTGGAGTTCTAGTAAATATGAAGCCTCCGGTCATGTTAGAAAATTATCTTGACACATATATATATATATATATTAAAATGATTGGAAATGACCGCACTCCAAGGACTTGTTGATAGTAAAAATAAAATATAACTTTTATTCTATATCATATAAAATATTGAAGTTTCAGCCCCAATACATGGGCTTTCATCAGGATGATATAGAATAAAAGTTATATTTTATTTTTACTATCAACAAGTCCTTGGAGTGCGGTCATTTCCAATAATTTTTTTGTATCTTGTGCCTGACCAGCACCGGGCAATTACTCTCTAAACCAGGAGTGCAAGCATCTCGGTTTTCTTATATATATATATATATATATATATATATATATATATATATATTTATTGTGTGCCTTATCTCTCATAAAATACTTTCCTTTTAATTAATTTAAATACTTTATTATAGTTGTTTATAGATCTGTCAATTGATGGATTTTTATTTTCCTCCTGCAAAACGACAAACCAAAAAAGGAAATTATATAACTTAACAAAATTAGCTTATTTCCCAAGGCGCAACATTTATTTTGTGCTCCACTTTTCCTTTATAGTACACTTGGGAACTTCTTTTTAATATCTAAAGTAATATCTTTTAATATCTCATTTTGCAAGACTCTTATTTTCGTTTAATTATTTGTCTTAAGGTAATAATTTGGGTTATTAAAATTATAGCCTTGTATTATATTTATCTTGTGACTTGCTACCAGTTTCTAATGTAATTGATTCAAGAAGTAATATAAAATTGAAAGTGACCTCGATATGTCCTACATATTAAAAATAGAAGAAAGCTAATGAGTTTGAACTTTAAGCAGCAATTTGCCAAGTCTGCCGTTGATGCATCCGGTTTGGGCCCTAAAATAAATAGTAATGTCAGGACATGTCTGACTCATCTTTAAAATAAAATAATTCCTTTCCTAAAGAATATAAAAGTTACTTTAATGTAAATTATTAGTGAAATAGATGCACAGAATCATCAGTGTAATTGACCTGGCTCTGCAAGAACGCATTAAAATGTCAAGAGGCTATCTTGTAATCACGTTCGAACATATGGCACATTGAATATTGCACATCGGTTATTTTGATTACATGAAAGTTACTTATTGAAACATAAGCAGTACACTGATCGGCCTATTTTCCCCGCCATTTGGTTTAAAGATCAAGTGCGAAAAAGTATCCAATATAGGGGGAGGAGCAGTAAAAAATATAGATTTATTTATTTTTTTACTGCTCTTCTATTTTTCCCCTCTGTTGGTCACTTATCACTTGATTTGTAAATAAAATCAACAGTTAGTGGCTGTCCCCAAACCATTAATCATCTTTTTTCCCCTCAATCATCTCTTTTTTTTGCGCAAAAGGCGGCATTCTGAAACAAAAATCAAAATGAACACGCTTGTCTATTGCTTTATTTGCTTGGTTCATGATTTAGTTACATTTCAGCTTGGAGTTTGGGACTTTGTACAATCACGGATTATCCCAAATTTGGACAAATTGCAGTTCGTAATGATCATCTATTGGATTTTCTGCTATTCTTTTCAGACTACAGTTTCTGCACTTGCAGTCTTTTTCACTCAAGTCCAAATGGCCACATACAGAATGGGGCAAAATCATTCAGTGCTGTATAGGGCTATTCGAACAACAAAACACAGACCTTGTTAACGCTATTTAACAATTTCTGGATTTTGCACTTCAGGCTCTAAATGAACCTGAATTGGTCTGGATTTAAGCCAGACCAAGCACTGCCAGATGGCTGAACCTTGACCCTGATTGTTAAAATCTGTGCTCAGGTGCTTTAAATCTGGGCCTGAATTCAATGAAATCTGAAACTATTTGCCCATTGCAGCAGACTATCTTTGGTTTACTTGTCCTTAAACAAGTGGTGAAAACCATTTAAAGTATAACTATACAGAACATGGGAGAACAAGTAACTATATTTAATACATGAAATATATAATACAGGTAACTTTTTTCAAACACAATAAAAAGCAATACTATATACATTCAACTACTAATTTGATTTGCTACATTTGCATACCTACATTATGTGAATGTACACATTTCTATTCAGTCAGCAGAGGGCGCTGACAGAGTTATCAAAATACCAATGCATCATTTGTACATTGGCTGCTACTGTCACAACACCCCGCACCTGTAATGAGCATAGAGTGACTTAAACATAAGAGACATCCGGGGCCTACATAACGTGTCAGTTTTATGCTCCCAGTGATGGTAACTATCGTCACACGTCTGCTAATTTTTCTGAGCAAACACCTACAGTGCAGGGCTAAAATGTCTGACAGTGTCAGCAATTGATGGGGTACTTAGTTCTGCAGAAATTAAAGAAGTTCCTACTTCTCAGCTAGTATTGGAGGTGAGGAGAAGCATTTGACAGACTCCAGGTATGGGTTTAGACTACTTACAATGGAGGGTGCCAAGGTGGAGTGTTTCTTTACTTAAAAAAAAAAAAAATATATATATATATATATTTTCACTCTTACCCTTCAGATGGCACACTGAGTGGATGGATTCGAAAGCCTAGGAATGGGCTGGTGATTTCTACAAACTGTTCAGGTTTTTTCACAATAGGTTCTGCAGATGGATAAAATATTGAAAAAAAAAAAAATTAAATAGCATTTTGCATAAAGAAACATACAAAATTAAGCCCTGCACTCAAACTCCCCCTACTTCTGGGTGTCAGCAATGACTATACTACACATCAGTCCCAATACATACAATAAAAAAAGAAAAAAAAGTTACTTGCAGACTATCCCTTATCCCTATGCATATTTAAAAAGCTGGATTTTTTTTTTTAATATCACTCCAATGGCAATTTAAGTGTATGCTCACCTGCCACATCAAGGCAAACCTCTTAAGTGAGTCCTACAAGACAGTTACATGAATTCTTAATGTAGGACTCACCTAAGAGGTTTTGTCTCGGCGTTGCAGGTGAGCTTACACTTAAATGGCCATTGGAGTGATACTAAAAAACCTCCATTTATTTAATTGTGCATAGGCATTTGGGATAGTGCACGATAACGAGTAACTGTTTTCTTTGGGGGTTTTTTTGCATATAAAATACTTCATGACATAATAGTTTGCATTTTATTTTTACAGTATCATTAAGAAATAGATGGCACTCTAGAATATGAACAGTTTAGCACCGAGGAAGCATTGTGAAATCTGCTAATATTAGGAAATATAGCTGTAGTGAATATCAGGTAAAAAGCCTTAGCCCTTAGCAGTATAATTATTTTGTAACAACAAAACTTTCACTGTTTGTAACTAAGTTTTTCAAGGTCAACAGGTGAGGCGTTAGCCACCTGCCAATTAGAAAAGTCTACTCTGATGTTGGGAGAATAGACAAAGAACAGTGCATGCTAGGCCTGCCAAGATAAATCTCCTTCCTGTTTTATTTTATTCTCTTTCACTGTTATAATTTATATATTCAAGACATTAATGTGTATGCTCTCAGAGACAACTTTGACTGCTTCTTCTCCGCTGCAAAAAAGCTGTGATCCTATACTTCCACTATTCCGGCCTCTGACTGGTTAATTGGAAAAGGCTTTTCAGAGGGCATTGACTATTTACCTAACATAATGTTACCATTTAAAAGATAAAATAATACAAAGACAAAAATAATATATGACTTTTTGCCACTTTTGCAATGTGTTCTTTCCACCTTTCTTAAGGTTACCCATGCATGATCTATATATACCAACTAGTTGTGGTGGGGGGAATGGTGTGGATGAAAACCCCTTCTATCTGTGGAAGTGGATAGTTAATAGATTGCTAAACACAAATACACACACCAGTCAAGACTTTCTTTTCCCACATAAATCTCACTTTAACAGTGCTCTCACTACTGCAAGGGATTCTGGGTAGGTGTATGCAAATTAGCTCAACAATATTGGTAAAGAGGATTTGTTGCACTTTTTTTTGTTTTTAAAAGAAAAGAAATAAACAGATTTATCAGAAAAGTCAACATGGCATTTGAGATATCTGCACATTTTATATGAAACAAAACAAGAGTTAATAAAGGTAAGATAACATAGATTTAGCTCTAAAATGAGCTCAGTTACGTTTACCTAGCAGATTTAGTCAGGATTCATGTTGTGGGATAAGGAAGTTATGACTGACAGGTGCAATATTAGTAGAATCTTGCCTGCGGATATTAACATGAGAGATGCACTGCAAAGTAAGTCACTATTACCTGGGCTCACTATATTAGTGCTACATTACATAAGATGAAACATGGAGAAGAAAACAAAGATGGGGAACACTGCTACACTTAGCAAAATTAAGGCTCACAGGGCATGGAAAAAAAAGGCAGGAAATCGTCCATTATGTGAGTAAATTGCTAAAAGCAGGCCCTACATTTAATGGTGGAGGAGTGCTCAGCTCTAAAGTGGTCTACTGTAATGGCTAACCTGGAAGACCATGCCAATAGGGGGGACATTCAGCATATGCCCTGGCTTGGCTTACATCTTCCAGAGGTGTGCAGTTCACAAAGGTGAGTGGCACCACTGAGGCGAATCAAGGCATCCCTCCTGCCCCAGGCCTGCATTGGAGCCGACACCATGATGTCACGAACCCGGGCACTCTTGGAGGCCAAGTTTTTCCCATCCGGGATAGTGCATGAGGTTCGGTATGACGTGCCTTTCTGCCTGTGTAGCCGGTGCTTAGGGTTGATTCCCAGGTGGCCCTAAGCCCAGGTAGGTGTAGTGAAGGGTCTCAGGTCTCACCTCGCGATGTTGCATTGCTCCTGCCAGGGGCATAGCATCATATGTCACTGGCTTTGCCCTCTCTTCAACGGCAGCTTAAAAGTGGTTGAAGAACGCCTCCAGACGGTCTGAGATATTGCCGCATATTCAAGGTGAGTCAGGTTTGTATGGTGCCTGGCCTCATATCTCCGAGGCAAGTGGTTGTGGATCGGAACCCCTGTGAAGGGTAAGCCTGTGTGCTGGTGAGTATCAGCAGTAGTAGAGGTGGGAACCAGTCCAAGGGGGGGACGGGTACGGGGTTCAGCCAAACTTCAGCCTGCACGGCTCTGCTAAGGAGGTAGACCGTCACTCCCAGCCGAAACCACACGAGGCCTCGAGTATGCTGGACAAGAACTCCATTGCAAAATGTCACTTAAATGCCCTAACTGGTGCTCAAGGTGTCCCTGACACTGCTTGGTGTGCTCCAAAGTCGAGCTCTGCTTGTGTTCACAGAATTTTAAAGGATTAGAGCAAAGTATGTGAGGAGCCCTCATCCCATGCGTCTGCTCAGATAGACGGTCAGGTCCCGCCACCCCAAATTACATTTTTAAAGCTAAACCTCTACCAGTTTTGGCATGCTGGGACTATACCTTTATCAATAAATTTGCAGTATCCAAAACCGCTGCACAAAAGTTTCATGACATGTTTAAACTCAACACTGCTTCAAAGAACCCCCAATATCTGTGGGTCCTACACTAAATGTAAGATAGGAGACAAACATGCAACATGCAATACTTACTGCTTACTCCTTTACATCAGCACTCATCTATACTTGTGTATTTGCACCCTACAATCGTTTATATAGAAGATTTGCATAATTGTAAATTAAATTAGTTTATCGCAAACACATTTTGGTTACAAATTATAACTTTAAACACTAAAAGCCAATAAGCTCTGAACTTCAAAGTGCACTGCTGAACACAGACTGTCTGAGTTCTGCTTCTCTGATGGAAAGGGAACACACTGACCTGCCATAACTTACTACTGTCAGTGAAGAGGAATCTGCAGCCTGTGCTTCTGTCTGCTTTCAGAGTCTCCACAGCTGCATGGAGGTGCAACACATTCCCCATAGGGATGCACTGATTCAATGCATCTTTCTGAGATGCTGATTGGAGCAGGGCAGTGTTTGGTCCCCATGTGCAATAGCCTCAGTGCTTTCCTATGGTAAGAAAGATGATCTCAGCCCTAGGGACAGGACCAGGCAGGCACAGTCTAGGTGAGACCGGAGCAGCATAGGAGAAAATGTATTGAACCTTTAATCACCACGAAGGGTGGGTTTGGGACCTAAGCAGTGATTCCAGAAATATAGTGTCAGAAATACATGTTTGTATTCCTAACACTATAGTGTTCCTTTAAGAGTTTACTGAAAAATATGTTAATATCAATAGAATCTTTCCAAAAACTATTAAAAAAAAACAAAACCATAAAACTTAAAAGATAAAAGAACATTAACTTAGTTCAACAGCAAGCACAATATTGGTATTGTTGTAGAATAATAGATTGATTTTTTTTCTTAAGGCTGTTTTGTATGATGAGTCTAAAGTTCTAAGGCATTCTATATAGAACGTATAAATTTCCCTGATGCACAAAGTGGAAAATGACAAATGGATAGCCACAAGATAAGATTGGTCCTTTTGTATTGTCTTATTATGATCAATGACTTGTTCTTGAAAAAAAGAAAATAATAGCTGTTGAAAATTCCAAGCCAAAAGTAAAATGTGATGTGACTTCAGGATAGTAATAATTTGATTAGAATTAATGGTAAGACTACAAAAAAATGTAATTGGGTTTATGTGCAAGATAGAATATACAGTTATATTATGTAGATATAAAATAATACATTTCTGACTTACTGATGTTTTTATTTTCTCTTTTTTATATTAAAAAAACAAAACAAATTAAAGGGGCACTATAGTCACCAGAACAGCTACAGCTTATTGAATTTCTTCTGGTGAGTAGAATCATTCAGGCTTTTTGCTGTAAGCACTGTCTTTTCAGAGAAAATGCAGTGTTTACTTTACAGCCTAGTGATAACTACACTGGCCACTCCTTAGATATTCTTCCTGGGTCATGGCTGCCTAAAATGCATCCAAACATTCAGTGTCTCCGCCCTCTGCCTGCAGACACTGAACTTTCCGCATAGAGATTCATATATTCAGTTAATCTCTATGAGGAGATGCTGATTGGCCAGGGCTGTGTTTGAATCATGCTGGCTCTGCCCCTGATCTGCCTCTTTGTCAGTCTCAGCCAATCCTATGGGGAAGCACTGTGATTGGATCAGGCTACCACTTCTGATTATGTCAGCAGACTGCTTGTTTTTTCTGAGTCAAACAGCATGCAGAGTTAAAGCTTCAGGCTTGAATACACTAAGATGTTGCTATATTTATGTAGGCATGAAGGGCCTAGGGGGGCTAGATGGTGGTTTTAACACTATAGGGTCAGGAATACGTGTTTTTGTTCCTGACCCTATAGTGATCCTTTAAAATAAGTTGCAGAAACAAAAGTGTTTTCTTGGAAGGCCATGTTAACAATGACACAATAATAAACCAATAAAAAGGGAAATTACAATTGTGCATATGATATTTATCGACACATCAATATCTGCCAATAAGCTGTTAAAGGGAACCTTTGATAATATTTGCTTTTTCAAGACTATAAATACCTTTTTCCAACCACCCTTTCTTTAAAAAAGTGTTAAGCCAATATTTTTTTTAGAACAAAAAAAAGTTACCTGCCCACTATCCTAAATCTCTATGCACATTTTAATAACTGGACATTTTTAGTATCACTCCAATGGCCATTAACACCATTATGGTATTATACGCCGTCCG